CGGGCAAAGCGGGATTTTGAAACTTTTTGAATAAAAAAGCGGGATTCTTTCGTCCAAAATCGGGACGTACTACGGGTTTGTATAATTGATGCCTAAAAAAAAAGGTCTCACTCTTGTCTTCAAAAATATCAATGTCTAAAAAACAAAGGACGTTAATAACAGACCTGGAAAAAATCATTCGAGAGGAGAGCGGGAAAAGCGGGACTGAGCATATCCCGCGCGGGACATTTAATTTTAGGTTAAAAAGCGGGACGTCCCGCCAAAATCGGGACGTCTGGCAACGCTAGGCACAACCCTAACGCCTTTTTCACATGGACGTTGTTTTCCCGGTCGATAGCCGACCGTCAGACCTGACGGCGACGTTTCTGTGTGTAAAGCTCTATTTAACTACAGTAGAGCGCCGATTATCCGAAATAATTGGTTCAGAGGGTGTTCGGATAATCGATTTTTCGGATAACCGAACATTTCTGGAGAAACGTCTACATACTTCTTTGTTAGGGTAGTGGGATGGGTGGGATATAAAGAAAACACGTTTATTGGACAGGAAATACATTACATCGTAATAATCATGGAGACTAGACTATAGTCTCCATGAGCACGACAGTTAAAAACAACTCTAATGTCAGTGACACAAATTGAGGTTAGGTGTATAGGTGAACATGGAACGTCGGGTTGGCGCGAATTTCGAATTTACCGTCTGAAGCGCTTTCGGTTAACCGACGTTTCGGATGACCGGCTTTCGGATAATCGGCGCTCTACTGTATGTGTAATTTAAAATTTTAGTCGTTGTGAAAGAGGCGTAATTCTTTGGTTCAATGTCAATCACAAAATATATAACTATAACATACAAGAAAATTTAACTATATATAATGAATGTCAGTAGACCATCCCCCCATGCTTATGCAAATAATGCAATGATTATGATTGCAATTTGCAATGCAACCAACAATTCAAATGCACATACATATATGTTAGGTACCTATTGTATGAACTCGAAAAATTAATTTACTCATTTTTTCAGACGTTCATAGAAAATACAGAATTTTAAAATTTATAGCTGGCGGAAACATGGTTATCCTATAAACAAACAGTCTATTTCTAAAATGAAACCAATTTTAAATTATTCTAAAACAATGTACATTTTGGTTTCAACTGATATTGAAAACCTGCTTTACTAAATTTATATTTATATTTATAAAGGATTTTTGATTGTAGAAAATTCTGTGGTTAAAGATTAAAAAATTTTGAACATGGTCTGGTGACAGTGACATATTTTTAGGCAAGAATGTAAAATTTCTGGTATAGACCTTGTTTGCATATAATGTCTCCTAAGAAAGATGTAAAGAACTTAGCAGAACCTGAATTTGGTAGAACGATAAAGCTATATATTTGGGAACATGGAGACATTTACGGTAAATGTCACGAAGTTTTTATAAATCCAAATCAACTTAGAACATGGAATAGTATTCTAATTTATTTAACTAATATTATAAATCCAATTTTTGGAGCAATACGTAACTTAGTTTCTATTAAAACTAAAAAATATATAAATTGCTTCAAAGATTTAGAGAATAGTGGAAGATATGTTGTTCTTGGAATTGGTAAAAACGTAAAATTTACTGAAAATAAGTGAGTATTTTTATTGGTTTTATTTACTGTACCTATTTTGTTATATGGAAAAATATTAATAGGTAGGTACACAGACACTAAATCAAAATTCACTATTTGCCTGGTTCTGCTGATAACTTTATTATTAAGACTTTTACATCTTGTTTTTTTCTAAATAAAAAAATCCAAGCTGTGGTACCTACATCCTGAATGATTGCTGTCATACATACACTTTTCACCTTTTTTTTTTTAAGATATAAGGTCGGTCACTGAGCCAGATACTTTTAATTTTTAAGCAATTCTGTCTTCATTAAATTTTGGTTATAATTGTATGCTTTAGATACAAAACTGGCTCAGAAATGGAAATGGAACTAGTGACAAAAAAACCTGTAAAGAGATTTTACTCAGGAGATATAGGAGAGTCTGAATTTAAATTTTTATGTGCCACACAGAAACGAAAATTGACCATCATTTATGTTCTTGTCAATGCTTTAACATGCCAGACTCCTTCAAAAGTAGTTTTAACCGGAAATGATCTGTTGGTGTGGGACACTACTTTAGACTATTTGGCAAAAATACTGGATGTGCCAAATGGAATTCAACAGTAGGTAGCAATTAAAATTATTTAGCATTTAAAAGTCAGTAGAAAAGACTAAAGAGGTACCTATACAAGAGAAATTTAAGATATAAGCCATAATCAAATATTATTTTCTTTAAGTACCTATGATACCTTTTTTTAGTTTATGTACCATTTTTGGAGACATTATATTTGAACCGAATGAATTACAACATGGATATGTATATGTTGCACTGCCATATAATGAAAAATTTGTAGACATGGATTATTTGTCATATTTTAACGAGTTGGAAGACTCCTATAAGAAGTATTAGTTACATAAAAAAATTCAGTATATTATAGACATTTTCTTACAGGAAAGGATTACTCTTAAGTATAAGACCTGCCCAGGAGAAAAAATATGGTAAAAAAATACCGAAACTCAAAACAGGTATGGTAATTGAAAGTTGTTAAAGAAAGAGAATGTCAGTTAATAATATCTTATTTTTAGTTAAGAAGAAAAAAAAATTGCAGATGGAGGGAAAAAAGTCTGTTACGAATTCAGATGCTGGTGATGGAGTACAGATACGATCTCAAGTTCAAATTGGAGATAAAACTGCTGAGAACGAGTGTCAGTGTGGTAAAAAAATTGTGAACAGTATACTTATTAATTTAATGATTTTTTTAAATGCAGTATTTATTTTGATATCAGTGTAAATACAAAAGAGTTGTTTTTCATAAATCGATGCAAGATACTCTTATATTACTTTCCTAACAAAGCAACATTTAAGATTTATCGAAAAGGAAAAAAAAATTGACGTTTACCCCCCCAGGCACACAAAAAAAATGTCAAGACCCAAAGGGTAGACCCCTTACCCCTCCGTTTTTGGGGTCGCTGAAACCGAATATGACCATTCTGAGAGTTTAAATGTCAATGCTCATACAAAGTCGAGTAGGGTGTGTATTCCTATGTTTTCTGGGTCACTAAGAATGAAGAAGACTACCAAAAATTAATTAGACCCCCTCGTTACCCCTTAGCGTCACTTTACCACCCCCATACACCTCCTTCTGCGAGTTGAAATGTCAATTCTCATACAAAGTCGAGTATGGTGTGTATTTCTATGTTTTCTGGGCCACTAAGAACGAAGAAGACTACCAAAAGTGAATAAGATCCCTCGTTACCCCATAGCGTCACTTTACCATCCTCATACACCTCTTTCTGGGAGTTGAAGTGTTAATTTTCACACAAAGTCGAGTGGGTTGTGTAAGCCTACGTTTTCTAAATTGCTGAAAACAAAGAAGACTACCGAAAATAAATCCAACCCTTTCGTCAACTCTCAGCACTCTTTGTCACCCACATACATGCCCTTATGAGGGTTGGAATGGCAATTTTCATATACGTCAAGTGGGGTGTGATTCGGGGTAACTTTTGAGACGAGTCCCCTCGTCTCTCATAGTTCAGGGTACTTTTTCAACCGTAAGTTCCCTCGCCTTTCTGAAATCGGAGTACTTTTTCAACTTTCCAAGGGGTGTTCGTGTGAAAACCTACCAGTTTGTGAGAAATAAGAGGGTTCACCTGTTGAACAATCGTGAGGGGTGAGGGATCTTATGGTTGACAAAGTACCATGATTCGTGAGAGGCGAGGGGATTTATAGATGAAAAGGTTCCGATTTCGGAAAAGTGAGATGACATGGTTGAAAAAGTACCATGAATTATGAGAGCCGAGGGGACTCGTCTCAAAAGTTACCCCCAATCACACCCCACTTGACTTTGTATGAAAATTGCCATTCCAACCCTCATAAGGGCATGTATGTGGATGTCAAAGGATGCTGAGGGTTGATGAGGGGGTTGGATTAATTTTCGGTAGTCTTCTTTGTTTTCAGCAGCCTAGAAAACATAGGCATACACAACCCACGCGACTCTGTATGAAAACTGACACTTCAACCCCCATAAAGGGGTGTATGGGGGTGGTAAAGTGACGCTAGGGGGTAACGAGGGGTCTTATTCATTTTTGGTAGTCTTCTTCATTCTTAGTGGCCCAGAAAACATAGGAATACTTACCCTACTCGACTTTGTATGAGAATTGACATTTCAACTCCCAGAAGGGGGTGTATGAGGGTGGTAACGGGCAAATGGCTAGTTAAAATATTTTTTATGGTCATATTCGGTTTCAGGGACCCTAAAAACGGAAGGGTAGAGGGGTCTACCCTCTGGGTCTTGAAATTTATTCGAAACAGTAGCAACATTGGATCAATTGAGGTTCTCGTACCAAATCCGTACCGTGAGAAGGGGCGGTTGAGCAAGTGTTATACCAAACATAGATATTATTTCGATGCCTACAGATGGTCCTTAAGTATGTTTTTGTAATAAATCATCTCATTTGTGTGAGTTTTTTAGAGTTTTAGGAAAGTACATATCTATGTAAATATCTCGACATGTGTTTGACTTAGGTTGTTAACATTTCGGTAGTGACTTAACTATATAAATGTAGAATGTAATGAAATTGTATAAAATTATATCAATTTACAGGCACAGATATTGGGAATTACTAATAATCCCAGAAATTCAACATCAGTTTTTTGGAAACCTGATTTGATATTAGATTTCCAATTGTATTTCAAAGAAAAATGTCTCATACTTAAATAAGTACAGGAATAAGTAAATACTTACAAGTTGAAAGGTGACAAACGAACAGATATGTAACAGCAGATAGCGGTATACAAAATTGTTTTTCGAGCGCCTTCTATTTGATATGATTTAGAAAGGAAATTAAAGTCAAAGACTGAAATTTTCTCATTTTTTCTCAAAAAGGCATACAAATTTTATATGATTGGAAAGAAAATAAAAAAATCAAAACGTACAAAAAAATTTATATTAATCCCAATTAAAAAAATATCGATGACAAAACCACTCGTCTACAGTGTGACAAAAAAAAAATTTGTGCGTCAGTATAAAGAAAATAACATCTCATTTAAAAATATATATACTTTACAGGGTGTCCAAAACTGTATAGCCAAGTTACAGCTCGGGGCCTTTATAATCAAACATACTGTATAATGATTTTATGCAAAAATAAGGCAAGATTTTTTTCTCATTCACATTATTTAATTTTCCAGTAATAGCTGAAAAGGTGGCAAACACCACCATTGTATGTAAACTGCGTGAATTTGTTCCTATGCCAAATTAAGTCGGCTCAGATTTGATTAACCTCAAACATTTTATTTTTCGAAATATCTGCGTTGATGTAATAACTTTTAGAAACTTTAACATTGTGTATGTCAAAAACTAAGTGACACAGAGCAGAATAAAAATTTGTAGAAATTTTTCCCTTGAAGTGATTTAAAGAATCATCTTTGTTATTATCAGAATATATTTAGGTACCACCCTGTATAATTACTGAAGTTGTTAAATTTTAGATCCATTCAATACTTGTATGAATTCAGCAAAAACACAAACTCTGCACAACGTTCAAGATGATGCTGTTGTTAATTCACAACTACATAATGGTAACTCTATTAAATATGTAAATAAATCTGTACAAATTCGTGAGAAAAAGAATCAAACTGCTGTACCAACATCGGGATTAACTACTAAAATGGACAGGTTCTCCGGAGAAACCAAACGTACTGAAAATAAACCAGAACCGATTACCCAAAGAGATTCAGGTCTCAAAGACACCACTGATATTAATACAAGTACACCTGTTATAAAAGCAAATAAATCTGACATCAAGGAGAAGGCTATAGAACATTTTTCCATATCTGTTGTAGTTAGCAAAACTACTAAAGTAGTAAATGAAATAAAAACTGAACACAATATTTCCAATCTTGATTTGAGCAAAACTTGCCAAGCTTGCACTTATTGTACAAACATAGCGGTCAGTGGGACATGTTCGGATAAACTTGAAGTTATAACAAATATTATTAACGATGTTATTATTGACACATATAAAAGATTAATGCAAACAGACGATTTAAAAAAAGATGACAACTTAGTACCTATTGAAGATACCACAAAAAAGAGCATTACTATTAATGGTGGTGGCAGTGTCACTGATAGCAAAGTAGAAAGAATAAGCGCAGGAAATGTTGACAGTGCCACTGATGAGGTGAAAGAAAACAGCATTGTTGCCCCTACTATGAAAGAAGCAAAGAATATTTCTGAAAAAAATAAAATAAGTGCCACTGACACTATTAGAGACAAGGAAACCAAAGAGAAACTTTCTATTGTGCAGGATATGAAAGACACTATGGAATTTTCTAAAATAAATTCTAGCAAACCAAGTGGTAGTAAGGCAAGTAGAAATTTAGAATACTTTAAAATTGCTGGAGTTCTACAAATAAATTTTCATCTAAATTAAAAGTTATATTACGAGGCATATTCACAAAGATTACTTGATTTTTTTTAAATCGAAACAGTAGTATATTTATGAAACATTTACATATTCAGAAAGGTACATCGAACACTACTATTCGACATAGTCACCTTCTAACTCAAGTCTTTTTAGGGTTTCACGGTACGATACAGTATTAATGGTTAAAAAGTCAATGAGGAGAATCCCTTTATACTCATGACTGCTTGAACACATTAGTACAATTCAATACACTGTCCTCAATAACAGTTTTTATTTTGTTAAAAATTTGAAATGGCGCCTTTCCCTTTGCAAGAAGAAACGGGATTAGGCTCCTCACCTCGCAGCTGGAAGCATTCGGAATACCAGCACTCATTTCAACACGCCACTACAACAACAGTTCTCAACTGAATGAGACAAATGAGTGCACGTTCTGCTCCCAACACCCTGGCCTTGAATGCAGTATTACCAACTTTATGAAAACAAAAACCACAGAACAAGTCTCAGTACTCTTACTTTGTGGATATGCCTCATAATAATCAATGATTATAATATAACATCAAAAATGTACGACCTGCTTTGAGGCACAAGGGTCATTACTTAATAAGTAAAAAAACAAATGAAGTGTAGGTATGTTTTATCTTAAAATTGTAAATTCTAAGCCTTCTACAATGTCTTTTAGGTGTCAATTATTGAAAAACTGTATTAGCAACATTTTTTATCCGAAATCTAATAAAAGCTGTTATTCTGCACCCTTCAATATGTCCCTTGCCAATTCGTGTAGAGAATTCATTCATATATTTAAAAATGTTCCTGGTATATTTCAGTTTATTTATTCATTTAATTTCAGTAGAATGTTGAAAAAAGTGCAATTTTCACTTTTGCATGAAAAAATTATAAAACAATAAATACTACTACAAAAATTAGCACTCAAAAAAATTGTAGCAGGTTTAGAAATTTTGGGATCTTAATTTCCAAATATGTTTGGGTTGATTTAATAAAATAAAATCATTTAATAAAATAATTTAATAAAATTTACTTTTTTTATATAATTGAAATGACAATTACTGCTTATAATGTTAATGGCCCCTTCACTTATAAATCAGGACACATTTTAATTAATTTTACAGAATTGCAATCTAACAACTAAATTTTACAGATAGTTCATCTTGTGTCTGTACATTTTTGTATAAATTGGTTTTGTTGCATTATTTTGATTTTAGAACTACAAAGTTAATGAAAGTAACTACATATATTCAGGCTGTGGACATGTGCCTTCTGTACACATTAAAAATAAAACGTATTTTAATTTTTGTGATTTGAAATCGTGTCCGAGAAATTCTTGTAAGGATATCAGAATCAGATATTGTAAAAAGAGCAGTTCTGACTTAGACAAAACCTGTTATCTTTATGAAATGACACCTAAAGTCAAGGGTAAGTATTTAATAACACGAAAATCAGTAATGAAATAAAAATTTTAAAATAAAATCATTTAAAAAAATTATGTAGACATTGTTTCTTATTTTTTCAGAATTTCAATGTAACTCTTGCACTGCAGCACCTGTTGATGAAATAGATATGATGGACAGATTTTCTAAAGGAGAGAAACAAGATATTTCAAAAACTATTAAAAAAAAGACTGTATTATATAAATCAGGTATAGTAAACTGGAAGTTCATGATAAGTGATGTTTCTGAAAAAAATAAAATATTCACACAATGGCGACAGAAATATCCATTTGTTGCTGTATATGTTTTTTTTGCTAAAATATTGAGGACTTTAACGAAGGTTGCGAATATTTAATGCCGGTTTAGAAAAACCTTACAAATTAAAAAAAAAAGAAAAACAAAAAGGTCAAAAAATAATAGTACACACTTCTTAAAATTGTATGCAAGTATTATTTGTTAAATTTTTTAAATAGATTCTCATTTTTCATTTTTTTGTGACATTTTGCCTCACTGCAAAATTATGAAATATTATGGAATTAGTACGTAAACTCTTACTCATGGATTAGCCATTAATTGTTTTTGAATTATTTTTGTATCCTCACAAATAAATATTTAAATTTCAGTTCTCAATCAACACCTTAACTTAAAAAAGATATAAAGATATAAAGTTTATTTGATTGAGCAACATTTATTTCTTCTGAACTAAAATTTTCCAAATAAATTGAATTTATTAAACACATTTTATTATAGAACTATTACCTCAAAAACTTTGTTAATAGAATATTTAATGTATTGAAAATACATAGAAGTCATTCTCAAAGACAAGAAAGATAAATTATATGCCATTTAAATCCATATTCAGGATGGTTCGATTTTCTTTTCTCAAATTTTATGAACGGGTAGATTTCAAAATATGATAGTTGTCTTTATATGTACAGGTATCAAAAAAATTATATATATTTTTTTGTATTTGTATTCATTTTACAATTATCGATATGTTTATAGCAAACTAGACCGTTTCTGAATAAAACATATTTATTGAAAATGTTTCATGGCTACTGCATTTTATTGCACAAAAGAAATTTTAGTGGTGCCTCATTTAAAACTAATTCCTCTCTAGCTTTAGTCTGATAATAATATGAATGTCCTAAATAAAAGTGCAGCATATATATTTTTGCACATTTTAATATTATTTTCTGTTACAGAAGGTATCTGATTTATTCTTGATATTACTGGTGCTACTGACATACTTTTTCCAAAAAACCCTACATTTTTGGATTTTTGCTTTGAATTTAAAACCTACTTTGATAAACAAATATTGGGTATTGTATCTATCAGTTTGAAATCTGTCAGTCTGTCTGTTTTCGAGATTTCAGTTTGGCCACGATTATTTTAATTTATATCGCACATTTCAATACAAATTTTTCATCATAAAAGTTCTCTATGCGGGCTCAGAAATCATTTAAAAAAGTGGTATAGGTCCCATTTTCCATTTTCGAAAATATGAACACATTCATTTTCAAAAACCATCATTATTAAACAAAATACCTAAATTATAAAATTGTCTCGTTTAACATTGAAATGCTTGTTAAAAAAATCAATCATCTTGTACAGGAAAGTTGAAAATTTCGAAAACATAAATAGTCGTATGGATAATAGTAGTATGGATTGTGGGAATTCAAAATAGATAGAAAAAACAAAAAGACAATACCTTGCATGAAGCAAAGTAACATTGTCTTTTTACCTTATTTTTATATTGTTTTATGGGAATTTATTTTTAACTAATACATTTAATATATTTTAGTTTCTGAAAAAGTGCAATTAGGTTCAGTTACGACCCAAACTCAAACCCAAAGTAAAATTCAAAGCGGTTTGTACATGTACAGTCAGGGCACTGCAGAAAAGCCCATACAAGACAGCATGTCACTTGATAGTATATCTGGGGATGTCTCCGACACAAAGATAAATGAACCTACCAAAAAAGAAGATACAAATGATATACAGGACGAATCTGAACAACTAAAATATAGAGATGAAGTCTCAATTGCTGTTAATATTAGTAAAGTTAACGGATCGAAAAATCCGTTTGAAGATCACAAAATCTCTGAACAATATTTAAAAACTGAAACACCTGTTAATACAGAGAGGGGAAATGAAATTTCTATATCAAAAGTTACATCAAATGCATCTTTTCTAGAGAAACTTACATACATTAAAGACATTATTAATAGTATTCTCAAAGAAGTATTTGAACTGCAGAACAATGAAGCTTTAAAAACAGAAGGCATAGAATCCATTACCAAAAAGCAAGAAAATGGGAATATTTATTCCGATTCTCGTGCCCAAAAAGATATAACAGAAAACAGTACTGTTGGTGTCTCTAATTATAGTAATAAAGACACATCCAAAATGACTTTTAATAAAATGGATGAACATCAGGTAAGTAGTTAAACTATTAGCTACACTATCAAGTCAAAGTAAAGGCTAATGTTTGACGTTTGTAGGCATCAGGATCCAGGGGGCAATGTGGTGAACACCCTCAGATCTAATAAATTATGCGTTTGTCATTATTCATTACATATAATACTTTAGTTATCCTATTATAACAGTTTAAGTAACAATTTGTATCTTTTTAAAATATGCTTTCTTAGATCTGACGACATTAATCACGCTGCCCCTGTGGTCAATGTCAACAATTAAGACAGATCCTCTTGTCCTGTTCACGTAATATATAGTATAGTATATATTGTTCTAAATTGGTGATAAACATATTTAGCTATCACAAAATATAAGAGGTAGAAAAATGGTTATACACTCACAGACTATCTCGGTTTGGGTTAATTTAAAAAAAAATGGATGAATATTTGAAGATTTTCTTATCCGGAAAACCCATTCAACTGAGATTTTCAGTAAAATGATACACTATACCGATTTTCAACAAGTATACCTTTTTTATGTAGAATTGTCAACGGAATCTAAAAATGAATCCCAAATGATTATTAGGTCATTGGCATAGAATTTGGGGTAAAAAATCCCTCCTTAAAACCCATTCCTACGCCACTGACTTACAAAAATTTGTAAATTTTACTGTAAGTAAATACATATGTAAATGTTAACACCACACCAAATTTGAATCAATTTGTTATAAGCATAGCAAAGATTTCATAAATAATATGATTTTAAAAGCCAACCAATACGGTCCTGTACAGTGAAAACGGTGAAACGTAGACCTTTGCTTTATAAGGCAATTCTGAATTATTTATTGAGTTCTATTGGTTGTTAATGTTTGATTCACTCGAACTGAATCACCCTGTTTCGTTGGCATGTTTTTGATTTTTATTAAATATATTGTTAGACAGTCAAGAATGTTTTTTTTTCAATTCGATATGGAATTCATAAGAAAAAATAAAAGTTCTCTTGGAGCCAAAATGTTCAAATAAAAGTATAAATCCACAGTAAAATTCTATTTTTATCGATTTCAAAAATTTTTTTAAATAAAAAAAAATGAAAACATTGAAAATGCATCATGTGTTTTTTTCGAAGATATTTCAAAAACATTTAAATAAAAATTAACTAAAATTTTTTCCATTTAACAATTTACTTTTCGCTTGTAATTTCTGAGATCTGATACCACTAATTTCAATTACGCTGCATACATTCAAAATGAATATACAGGGTGTCCGGAAATGATGAGCAAAAAATTAAATGCTACCTCTTTCTATAAAATTTTTTCCAAAACTGATTATTAACGGAGTTACAGGGTGTTAAAGTTAATTTTTATTTGCAGTTTTTTTGCAATACCTTTTGCCACACTCATAATATTTTGACGAAATTTCGTATATGGGGGTTTTTCGGGATGAGGATTATAAAGAGCGACCGAAATTTTCGCCCCTTTGTGAGACCTCATAAATTTACTCCAAATGTGTGCCAAAAGATAGTCTATGATGAGACTTGAATCGTCTATAAGTTTTAGCTTGAGGCTGCATTTTGTTTTCAAGTTACGGTTGATTAAAGTTGTCATTTTTACATGGATTGTTATAGGGTTTTCAAAGTCGCTGATTTAAAATCAAAGGTTTGTTAATCTCTATGACTTCAGATTCTGGGAAAGGTCTTCAGAAACCTTTCCCAGAAAGGTTGACGAAATCATTGATTTAAAATCAAAGGTTCGTTAATCTCTATGACTACAGGTCATTTGGAAGTCAAAGAATTAATCTTGGAATCTTCGAAATTCTTCATTTTTCTGAAGCTTTTCAGTCATTTCATGAAGACCGAAGGGTGATGAAGCAATTCTAATAACAAATTCGTGCTCAGCGCGAAAAAGTACTTCGGAATACATATGCCACATGTGAAGTACAAGCGATTTTTTTTTAGCGGTGTAACCTCGATCCAACAATCCATGTAAAAATGACAACTTTAATAAACCGAAACTCGAAAACGAAATGTAGCCTCAACCTAAAACTTATAGACGATTCAAGTCTCATCATAGACTATCTTTTGGCACACATTTGGAGTAAATTTACGAGGTCTCACAAAGAGGCGAAAAATTAGGCTTTTTTTCGGTCGCTCTTTGCCCACCGTTTTTTCGCATTTTGTAGAGGGCGCCAAATACGAGCCTTTATTTTGATTTGAATGGTTCCAACTTTTTTGTGCTACACTTTATGCGACTTTTGACTGAATATTTTTGTTCTCCTAACCTTTTGACATAAAAAAGGTATTCTTTATTTGTTTCGATAAATCTAACCGTTTTCGAGAAAAACGCTAAAATAACATTCTTTGCATGTGATGAATGAATACGAAATCATTTTAATTTATTTTCTACATTAAACATAGCATGTTTTGGAAACAAGCGCTTAGTTGTCTTGGAAACAAGTTTGTGGAGAATTAGTTTTGACAGATAGTAATGTTTGTGAAAATTTGTTGTTACGCTGATGATGGTTAATGATAAATAATAAAAAAATAATGTCCTCAACAAATAAAGAATGGTTTTCTAACAAAATCATAAGGTTAAAATACATAAGTTACTAGAACAATACAAATACAAATTAAACATTCAAATCAAAAGTTCAAAGTGACGTCCTTTCTCTTCAATACATAAATTAATTCTTCTTAAAAAATTCCGACGAACTCTATGGAATATTCCTTCCTTTTGCTTAAGTACCTCACAATTAGCAACAATTATTTCTCTCAGTTCATCGACACTATTCACAGGTGTCCTGTATACAAGCGTCTTCAGATAGCCCCAAAAAAAAAATCGATTGGGTTTAAGTCAGGGGATCTAGGGGCGCACTGTACAAAACCACCGCGTCCTATCCACCTTTCAGGAAAAGTTTAATTTAAGAATTCTCTGGCCGCTAAACTAAAATGCGGTGGCGCGCCATCTTGAAGCAGACACATTGCATTTCTTAATCCCAGTGGTAAGTACATCTTCCAATAGAATAGGTATTAGTGGTTTCTTAAAAAATCCAAGTAAACTTCAAAATTGAGTCTTTGTGGAAAGAAATGTGGCCCAATTAAGTAGTCCCCTACAATACCGGCCCACACGTTGACGGAAAACTTATTTTGATAACCACGCTCTATTGATAAATTAGGATTCTCATCAGACCAAAAATGCTCATTGTGGAGGTTTATTAAGCCATCATGGCCAAATCCAGCTTTGTCTGTGAAAAGGATATTACGAACAAAATTTTGGTCACCATTATGAAGTATTCTAATTGTATTGCAGAAATTCACACGAGCAGCAGAATCTACGGCAGATAAGGCTTGCACCTTTTGGTAGTGGTACGGATGAAGGTTTTGTTCGCGTATTGTTTCATGTACGGAGCTCTTTGGAATGCCCTCCTGAATAGCAATTTTTCTTATACTTACATTGGGATTATTCTCTATCGGATTCAAGATATGAGCTTCTGCTTCTGCTGTTCTAGTATTCCGTTGTGGACCTACATCAAAAATTCTAGTTTTGAACGATCCAAATTCTCCCAGTCTTCGATGAATAGTACTGAACATTCGCGATTGGGGTAGGTTTCTATTTGGAAATGCTTCGCGATACAAACGTCGTGCTGCCAGAGCATTGCCAGCAGCTAAACTGTAATAACAATGCATGTCCCGCAACTCCACGTTAGAATAATTGTTGTTCATTTTTATTATTATTTTTATGATAACAATTACTATAAAAGAACGTACAAAATTACTATCTGTCAAAAGTAATTATCCACAAACTTGTTTCCAACGCAACTAAGTGCTTGTTTCCAAAGCATGTTATGTATAATGTAGAAAATAAATTAAAATGATTTCGTATTCATCACATGCAAGCAATGTTTTAGCGTTTTTCTCGAAAACGGTTAAATTTATCGAAACAAATAAAGTATACCTTTTTTATGTCAAAACGTTAGGAGAACAAAAATATTGTCAAATTTTGCATAAAGTGTAGCACAAAAAAGTTGGAACCATTCAAATCAAAATAAAGGCTCGTATGTGGCGCCCTCTCCAAAATGCGAAAAAACGGTGGGCAAATTTATAATCCTCATCCCAAAAAACCCCCATATACGAAATTTCGTCAAAATATTATGAGTGTGGTAAAAGCTATTGCAAAAAAACTGCAAATAAAATTTAACTTTAACATCCTGTAATTTCGTTAATAATCCGTTTTGGAGAAAATGTTATAGAAAGAGGTAGGATTTATTTTCGGTCTAGAATTATCCCCTGAATTTTTTGCTTATCATTTCCGGACACCCTGTATAAAGTTGAAAGAAGGATATGATGTGATTATTATTTCAGAGTAATATAGAAATACCAGTTGCTAAACCAAAAAAACTTCGAAAATCTAAACCCTCAAAATGTAAACCGGTACAAATCTGTCCAAGGGAAAAATCTAGAAAGAAAATTTTTGATATAGACTGTCGCTGTGAACCAAAGATGAGAGGTAAATATTTTCTATTGGATTAACATGATTATTCTTTATTAAGAGTTTTTGGTTTTCTATATAAAAACCACAACTTATAAAACAGCTAATTCGGATGAGCTGAGTCCAAACCATAAGTCCCACATAGCGGTCAATGGCGTGCCCATCCTTCTCAAACTGCACTTCCACTGTTTGCTAGCTGTTTATAATAAACATACACATTTCAAAATTACACAGTTGAGTCACCATGTTGTATCAAGTTCAGAATGGAGATATTGGAATAAGTCAACGTAGAGATTTAAATTTGCCAATAATTCTTGCAGTAGGTAGTGATTTAAGTATCTATGGATTCTTTAAAAGTGTAAATGGGCATGTAATCTATACAATAATTAGATTTTTCACAAAACTAAATTTTGTTTTGGTTATACAGAATTTTCATAAAATGATTACAAGCCATGTGACCTCCGAAGTTAGGAAACCAATATTGCACGGCAGGTCCTGTTATCTAAAAATCCTTAAATCAATCAATCAATATTATTGATTCGTTTACAATGAACAATGACGATGCGATCGTTGGTTGGTTGAATAAAATCTCGTGAAAAATTACACTAATCACCAGCAGGGGAAACAGAATTTTGTGTTATCGTGTAATCTTGATTTTATTGTTTTAATAATTTTTATTTTTATCAAAATTTAATTCCCAACGTGAAGGAAATACAATTATTATTCCATACAAAATTACTGTGTTTTGTATTTATTAATGCTCTGTACCTAGTTAAATTTTAATTTAATAATAACATTAATATATTATTAAAACTTCATAATGCTGTAGTTGTAAGAAAAATGAAACATTTTGTGAGCAATAATAAAATAAAACAACTGTTTGTATCATTATGAAAAAAGACATTTTATACAGGGTGTCCCAGAATAATGTGTACAACGGAAGTCCACAGATTCATGGACTCAAAATAGGCTGATTTAGGCTAATTCACCTACCTATATCTGAAATCGCTTCGTTTGGCCGCTAGATGGCCGCAAAGTTCATGAAAATTTTTTGAATTTTGTAAATAACTTGAATACGTATTATTCGATTTTGATTATTTTTGGGATGTGGACTTTTGCTTTCAATTTACATATTTTGGTGTTATACAGAGTGTTTTTTAAAACTTAGAACTCCAACAAAATAATATTCGTTCATAACTTTTTCCTCTGTTGAGCAATAATGACGACTATTGATTTGATAGGTGATGCCATTTGGATGTTTTTGGGCCTCTTGTAGAATTTTGATTAAATGTGGGGTTTGGGTACAAAAAAATACTTTTTAAATGTATACATTATCTTGCCAACTGTATTACAATACTTAACAAACTGCTAATAGACTCTGATTTTGTAGGTTGACTAATTTCAGTTTGATCTTTAAGTCATTGTACCTACCAATTCTGTTTTACTAGAAGCGGAATAATAAATATTCACAATGAACATGTGTATGCTCAAAAAAATCCACATGCTGTCAAAGTGAACCATTATCAGCATGAATTTCGCATCAATGTTTGGTTTGGGATCATTGAAAGTATTATTATTGGCCCTGTTATTTTACCCAATATATTGAATGAGGAATTTTATTTAGAATTTTTGTAAAACTGTTATTGGAAGATGTGTCGTTATTACTCGAAGCTAAAATGTGGTTTATGCAGGAATTATTTCCTGAAATTTATTTCTTATACATAAGAAGTAAAAAATATACTTTTTTTCTCACTCTGACTATATTGTCATCTTGTAAACTGTCTGTTTGTCTGTTCTGGGGAAAAATTGTATCACTGGTACAGTGAAAAGATATTTTTATAACTTGCTTAGATTTTTTAAAACCCTCTACAAAATACTGCTATAAATTCACTGAAAATTACGTATAAAATCGCTCGGTTGCTTTTATTACTTCCAATGAAGGTATGTCTTAATTAGTAATATTGTCAAAAGCCAGCTTTGAGGCTTTCAATATGATCCCTTTTCTTGGTTCTTAATTAAAAAAATTAACGGTCAACTGGTAAGTTACATTTTGAAAAAGATGTAAATTGTAACAATGATTCCATTTCAAATAAGAATTGCACATGCAGATAGCTTTGGGGCAAAATAAATTTAGCTGACTCTTGATCCCCGTTTAGTTAGTTTAATGTGGAAATAATTTATAAAATATCTGCAAAAAATTTTTGCCGTCAATTTTTATTATTATTTTTCTAATTTAGTGAATAGCATTCTGGAGAAAAAACATTACTAATAAAAGCTTGCATATTACAAATATAAAATGCAGGTATTAACATAAAGAATTTGTAAGAATTTAAATAAAATCATTTTTTTCAAGGAATTTGTTAACATCAAAAAGTTAATTTATTTATAAATACATATAATATTTATTCTAAATACATATAATAAACCTGTAAATTATCTTTTAAATATAATAGTTTCACAATTTTAAAATTATAAATTTATCACGCTCCTTTATTGAATGTAGCTGAAAAAGATCAAACTATGCTGACAACAAAGTGGAATTGCTATTTGTTGCTTTGAGTTGTGTTTTGCGGATATTATTGAATTATCTAATTTGTTTAATTTACAATATAACTGTATATTATATATTCCTAATAATTCTCTTTTTCAGTATCGGAATGTTGCATTTGCCCTAAATATCCACCAATTTATAATAGTAAGTTTTCATATTCATTTTAGACTTTTGTTTTTATTTATTTTTAATATTTGTAATGTGGCATTTGACAAAGAATAATAGTATCGATCAGTGTGTTATTAATTCAGACTGCTCTTTTTTTTTTACTTGCTTCTAATACACACACTTTATTTAGATAACAATACAATATTTGAAAGGGCAAGTGTTTCCACAAGAAAGAAGGTTAAAGCAAGCGAAGATGGTATAACTACCAGTAGAAGTAAAGCGATCGATACCATGGAGGAAACAGTAAAAGATAGAAAAGTATCTGCTTCTACATTGAGCAGACAAGGTAATGAAGTAGTAGCTACTAATGAAAAATCCTTTAAGACTGAGAAACCTGAGAGGAAAAGTGAGATATCCGAAAGGAAGGGAACTGAAGAGTTAGATCTAAACAATCAGTCTATTATAAGTCGAAACTCTGCTGAAGACATTGGTAATAGATCTGTACAGATTGAAAGAGTTTTTTATTCTAAATCTAGAGAGAGGGAAAAAAATGGAGGTTCCGAATCAGAAGTATGTAGTAGCGAAAGCGAAATATCTATTGACTCAATTGAAGGTAAGTGAAATATTCATTTACATTTCATTAAACTTTCCATTTCGTATCTCATAACCAAACAGATATTTTTGAGCACTAATTTTTATACTTAATCTGTTGACATCCATTTTCATAAACTGAATTTAACTTTCTAAAAGCACCTTTTAAAAATTAGTGTTATTGTTCATGTTACATTCAACTGAATTATTGATTAAAAAAAAAATATGTTATTTAAAATAACCAAAAAATATTTCGTATACAAGGTGTTCCAAATTGCATATGCTAAACCTCAGCTGGTGATAGGCTTCCCATGAACATATGGTCCAGGAAATGTTAGTTTCCGAAACACAGTGTTTAAGTTATTGCAATTCCTGGAAATGGCTTTCTGAATTAAAATGCTTAAACAAATGAAAATTTACATCTCAGTCAACGAGTCGATTTAAGAGAGCAATAAAACAGCAGAACTTCTTAAGGGAGGTTTTTAATAACAACGTATAAAATTAAACACACATAACAACCATGGGTGTAGCCAGGGAGGGCAATATCAAATATTAATTTTTCTTCTAAGTCGCCTAACTCGATGTCTGGTAGACAGCAACAGATGCCCACCACATGCCAATAACGTTTCTAAGTTAAATTGTTCAAAATGCTTTTGGATTTTATGGTTTACGTGTTCTGATTACCAGATAATCTTTGTAAATTTATGGATAAGATGGATCATCTTAATGACTATTTGCTGAATCAAACCCTTTTTTTTGTTTATATGTATTTGTTGCCTAGGAGAGGTAATATTTATTACCGTTATATATTAGGTCCCAAACTGTTCCCAAAACTGACCAATAACTTATAATTGATTTTAATTTTTGTTACACCAAGATAAAATAATAAATATGAACTAGAAAAACTCGGAGCTGATTTATGGAAGAAATTTTCTTATTTTGAGTTCTATCACCAGATAAAGTTTGGCCAGTGCAATATGAGACAACTTGTATTCTCTCATATTTGTTAATAACAGTCTCAAACGTACTCATGTAACAAGCTAAATATTTCCCCATCCTTTTTTAGATTCAGCTTGCTGTATTTGTGTTTGCCCTGTTAAATATAAGTTCAACTTAAACGGAGTTAAAAAATAAGAGAAGAAGGTAGTTTCACATTTATTAAGGTAAAGCTATTTTTTTCATATCCTAAGATATTTGAAAAAGTAAATCGATTTTATGTCTAAAAAAATGATTGTATAGATAACTTACAAAGTTTAAAAGATTTGTATATGTATACAGGGTGTCCGGTAAGTACCTCCTAATCTCTCGGGAGTGTATAGAGGAGGTCAAAATAAAACT